ATTGCTTTATACAGTAAAATACTACTTTTTAGTCTCACGGTTGCCACTACTGTGTATTTGTTGACTCTTTAATTTATTGAAGTAAATTATACCAGAATCGGATATCAAACGCTTATGCTAAATATTTAATAATATAATTGTATGCTAATAATTCTATATGAAATTAGAAAATAACACACTCGACTAAAAGATTGTAATATGATGTATAAAAAAGATAATATTATTATAATTAATGAAATAATGTCATCTGGCTAGTTTACAAAGGATTGTCTTTACCAGTAATATTGTAATGTAGATTAATGGGAAGGCTATCTAGTGCCTTACCCTTCCTGCTTTACAAAAACTAGGAAGCCGTAAGCCGATCCTATCTCTCGTTATGTGGAAATTAGAAAGAGAGAGTACCTGTAGATAGTATATAACCTTCAGGGATTTTCTATCTTTCATGAGTTATTTACATTTTCTATTCATTGAATTCTGCTTATTAGCATTTCCATTCTCTACAAATAGGCAGCCAGACAGCATGTATACTTTCAGCATGAATATAATTTGTTGGTAACATTGTATCATAAGTTACATTTAGCAAAATACAAGATATTAATCATTTTATTTAAAAACAGACAACTTGCAACACAGAATATATAATAACAGTCAGATATAAACATTATTAATAAACTGATATAAGATTAATTGTATATTGTACTGAACTATATACAATGTGATAACTATTTATTTAACCTAATATTTACATAGGAATGATGTTTTGCCCTACCAGACAGTACATTTCCAAATATTTGCCAAAACAAAATCCTTGCGATTGATTTGGTTTGGAATTGAACTCACAAGTTCCAAGTAACTAGCCTGGTGTCTTAACCACTACACCACCAAGCTTTTCCCTTAACATGCTATCGAAATAATATTTTATAGCAATATACTTAAGTTTACTTTCTTTTGACATTGTTATTGCAAATTAAATTTTATATAGAATTGGATGTATGTATGGTTTCCTGAAATGTTGTTTTTAATGGTACAGTAGGCACACTAATAAGCAAACAATATATTATTATTTATTTAAAATCATCCTTTTTTATTTATATTGTGTGTACTGTTGTACCAAATTTGGACCTCTTGGGAGGCTAGTACCTAAATTGTATCGAGCCTTCCAGATTAAAGTTAGATTTGTATTGCCAGATGTTGGGTTCACAAAATAAGGTATAAAAAAAAGCCCTGTTTTAAGACGCAAAAGTAGAAGTACAGATTGGTTTCGATCGTAATCTCTATTGCTAGGTTTAATTTATGATCTTTGGTTTATTCGTTAACATGCTATAGTAATTTAATCTTCAGGACACATTAGCATTAAAGGGCTTTTGTCCAAAAAGGGACATAAATATAAAGAAATTAAGGTTTCGCGTTCGAAAACAACCTTCTGGCAAAATCAATCAAAAGCTGACATGTTATATTAAATCCTATTCTCATGTATTGACGATGAACTCTGAAACAATCGATTGTTTACTGCTAAATTAGGTTAACGGATAATGGACTGGAATGGATGGTTCTCGTGTTCGTTTATTAATTTGTCTTATTATTAGAAAAGTGATTGATTTTGAGATGGAGAAAGATAAGATACCGATCAACTGAGCCCTTTCTTGCGCTCGCTCCACAACATCAAATTTGATGTGATTTGTGGGAGGTATATGTATATGGGCATGATGATGATCACATTTATTTATCCCCAAATTTGATACTGTAGAAAAATTTTGCGAGTTATATTTTACTCCGAAACGGGCACGTCACTGAAACTTTGATTTTTAAAATTTTTGCGTCAAGTACTCAAAAACTCTGAAATGAAGTTTTGCCGGCATACGCAGACAGTCCAAAATGGAGTGCGAGTTATCCGTTGCTCCAAAATAGAGTGTTTGCACCAGCACCGGACGCTGGAACTACGATTTTAGAGTTTTCGCGTATATGTACGCAAAAATTGCGGCATCAATGCGCATACACTCTAAAAATGGAGTAACTACATACATGCCAGTGCGATATTTTTAACAATTTTGAGTGTTAAATTTCGAAGTCGAATTGCTCAATTTGGTTGATCACATTATCATCAAAAATGCATTGAAATTTTAGAATATTACCAATATAAATATCTACATACAATTCAAAACTTGAGCTTGCTCGTAAATTATGAACCCTAGTCAGCTTTTAAACAAAACGTCCATTAAGTGAACAGTATGAAGCACATTAGGAAATAAAAGTTAAAGCTGTATTAGTTAGTAGCATGAAATACAAATAAACAAGTTAAGTTATTAGGCCTAAAAAGAAAAATTGTTTGTTTCCCTCCTGCAGCCGACCCTAGCTCACTGACAAGTAGGGGCGGTGGTTTTTAAAAAAGTTTATTTTTTCGTGAATTTGGTGTCTGATGTAAGGTATTGCCATTCTAAGTCTAAATTTATTATAAAATATTGATTATCAGTTATTTTTATTCAGTCTGATGAATACCCTTTGAAAACAAATAGTGAACAGGCTTAAGCATTGCAATTTAATGTTAATTTTGTTGACAGGAGAAAAAAAAATATAGTCCCTATATAATTTTCAGCATTAAAGGGCAAACTTGACATTTTTTTTGGCCTTATGTGTGAAGTACTTATTTCTTTTGTATTACATTATTAGTAGAATACTCTTCTACTAATTTTTAGTACTAAAGTCGATAGTTTTCCCAAAACTTCCAAATTAAGAATTAAAATTTTGGTTCTATTTTCTAGGTTTGGAATTTTACCATATATTAATACCGCAGTTTCTTTGGTATACTTGGAGCCAAATTTTACGTAGTTTCCCGTGCAAACGCCCATGATATGAGTTGAAAGAGTAACTCGGCTGATTATTACAAACACTTGCAGAAAATGCAATGGTTTGCTCTGAATTAGGAATCAGATGTTAAAAACTTTTTGATTGGCCATCTATATGGTTGTAGGATATGCTCTCAGTCGATAAAACAAAATTATATTTTTTGTGAAAAGGATTCCCTAGGTATAAGCACATTACCAAAAATCAGCCCAATTTTATGAGGTACTACTATGGTATTCATTTATATAAGCAGAAAATAGAAGATTTCTAACACTATGAAATGTACTTAAAATTTCTAAATTAAAAAATTTGGTTGAAATTTTTATATAGACTTGTAAAGATTGTTATTGAACATACACATACACATTGTATGCGATATATTTAACAGGTTATTTCATTATAAATGATTATAATCCATGACAAGTACTGTATATTAGGCTGCCTAGTATTTGCACAAGAGATAGAAATTTAAATAATCAGACAGAAAAACGATTTATTTCTTGGCATTATAACTTCATGAATAATGTATTTGCTGTATAAAAGCCATTAATTTGTATCCTGATTTGAAAATAAATAATATTTTGTTGAATTAGTTCCACATGGACATATGTTTATCTGTTTTAAAATATAGAAAACAGGCTAAAATGAAAGTTACTAGGAATATATCACATTATTTGACTATAAAGATATAATTTTTGAATTTTAATAATAGTGATAGTGATAAAAATAATGATAATACAGGAATTTGTCTTGATACCTGTACATATTTGTGAAAAGCAACATGACCACTAAGAACTACATCACTAATTGTTTATTGAAATATTAAAACTTCCTCCCATTTAGTGAATTTCCCTATTAATTTACATTCTTCCTAAACTTGGACATGGCGAAGAATTTTGAAATATATTGAATATTTAGTAATATTTTACAGAAAAATACTGTTTTATTCTGTGATAAAAAAGAACTAAAACATACATAACCAGGTGGTGGTAGTTGTGTAGGATGTTACATGGTAAATGCAAAAAAATGGAAAATAGGAAATATTTTATCGTTCATTGAATAAAAAAATAACATAGCAAAATATCAATAACTCACTGGCCTCTGTAACAATAACATAGAAATATGAGATTCATCATAGACAGATTCAAGGGGTGGTGCAGGTAGCCCTATTTTAAAAATGAAAAAAGGAAAATTGCATTCAAATTCAAGTGCCCTTTCCGGCCATCTAGAGGTGCCACAATAAAATCAACCATATGGGTGGGGCTGAGGTGGTCTAGACCCGCTACCTGTCAAAATACCTCCGTGGGCCCCCATCTACCTTTATTTTCTTAGATCCACCACTAAACATAATGAGTACTCTAGAAACGGTTGCACTCTATTAAAGAGACTATCGAGGCAGCTCTTTTGTACTAAGCGTAGTTCATCAGGTAATGAGCACACTTATATTGAGACAATGTCTTTGTGCACATACCAGTTGTGAACTCTTTCTCATAAACTATTATATAGTAATCAGAATTGCTACAATTATCAAATTTTGGTTGTCCTTGCTTTTAATGTACTTTAACCAGATACATTTGTAAATTTTGTATCAATTAATAATTTATTATAAATGAATGTTTTTGTTGTTGTCAAGTTTAATGTGTAGTTCTTGTTGTTGGCAAATAAATATTAAATTGAATTGAACTGTGTAGAGACATACTAAATCTTTGTTTTATTTATGTATTCAGTATTTATTTCACCAAATGTGAGATAATAATAAAACAAATTTGAGAGTGGTGGGGAGACCAATACATGAGGTACGCTCATACAAGTAATTGGCCACCTTTGCAATGAAAAATTAAAAAAATAAATAAAAAAGTACAGGACAAGGATAACAAAGCACTGACGATGCAGAACAAACAGGTAAATTGGCAAGGCAGTGTAGAAAACAAAATGGTGCAAGAAAGATGAATAATAGCCTAAAGTCATAAGGAATATGAATATAAATAAGCATATAAAATATAGTTATAAATATAAATATAGAAATACACTACAACCATGAAACATCTCCATTTACTCCCAAAATCAGACTTGCCATATTCATTCAGGTAAATGCCTATCTGTAAATATATTATATCATTGAATGGTTTTCCTAATTGTTTTGTTATTATTTTGATCAGGTGACGATTCCAAATGCGTCTTGAAAATGCTCATTCCAAGCACTGCGGCAGGATCCATTATTGGTAAAGGGGGACAGACTATCGCCCAGTTACAACGAGACACAGGATCAAATATCAAATTATCTAAAGCAAATGATTTTTATCCAGGTAAGTAATTGTCTTGTGTTTCAAAATTATTGTAGTCTCAATGTAGGCTTCCTATTGTAAAACACCCTCTTTAAGTGTATTATGATTGAGATAGTTCTATTGTTACTTTGCTATTTCCAATCAGTCGGATATAGGCCTGTGATTGTTCTTTATTTTTATATCCTATACTAATCAAAAAGTAAAAAAAAAATGTAGACCATGCAGTGTTAGGTTGATTATGATCCAGTCCACCTTGATGGTTATGCTTATGCCGCCTTTCATCGTTTGAAGCTTCTACAATTGTTTACTTCATTCCTCAAACAGCTTTGAACAATAGACATATTCTGTGAACCGTGGCTACAGTCGTGTGTGTAAGCATTGAGCTGAAACTGTTATATTTCCCAGGAGTGATAACGTAACACTTTCTCCGGTGTGTTTTCTGAAAATCCCATCAAAATTTCTATTTTTGTGATTTGAAATTGTTTTATAAACCTGTAATTCCTGATTCGAAATTGTTTTATAAACCTGTAATTCCCGAAATCAAAAGTGCAAATTTCTTCATCAGAGTTGAGAAAAACATAACAATTTTAGGCATTATCAAGGTGTTTGGATTAGAGTAGGCTATCTGAATGATTAGGTAGGCCAAAAACTAGCTACTAGATTTCAGAGCTAAAATAATATATTCATTTATATAAACGCACCAGGGTGTTTTATTGTTGAGAATTTATTCGAGGGAGGCATTTACTTTGGTGTAAAATGGGTACATATATACTCAAATGAACGCGTCTTAATTTGACTATAAATATGGAACTACAACATGTAGTTATCGTCAGAATGTGTGTGTGATCGTAAAGACTTATTGATCCCAACCAGGTTAGGAAAAATGTAATTCTACTGGATTAGAATATGTTGAGAATGATGTTGCTACCAGGTGTTTAATTGAGGATAAAATAAACGCCTTGGGGAGTTTGTTCGTAGGAGGCGTTTTATTCCAAATGAGGTTCTAGAGGCGGAGTTAATTAAAGTAAATGTGGTATGTTAGAAGTAATAAAACTGTGCTGGTATACTATGATAAAAAAAAAATAATAATAATAATAAGACAAGTTATACAGTATAACAGTTAAAAAATTGTAATTTTCAAATTATAGTCTTTTGATAGTAAAAATTTTGAATGCGATATTTTTGTTGAAATAACCTAGTAATCATTGGCCAATACTCACAAGAGTAGCGAAGTCTGTGTTCTCTAGTTGGTGATTCACACCTAATGCTATATGCTGTAGTGAGGATTTAATGGTTATTATCTAACACAGCGGCAGCAGCGAACATCAATGACCTGCCCATAGGCCATTTGTAAAATCACGAAGACACACTCTCTGGGTTAATATTTTACCTGTGTGCATTAGAACGTATTATGCATGTTAATTTTTTTGCTGGCAGGTTTTCAGTCCATCGGATAAGTGCAGCACTATTGGAACCATGGTTACAAACTACAGTGCTTCAGTGCTGTACTGAGCATTAGCTACGATTGCTAGGATATAAGCCATAGCTTGTTGCCATGGTAACCTGACTTAAGAGGCCATTGAGCTAACAAAAAATTGTTATCATTATTGTGGCTGAGGTTGAATTGAATCCAATTGTCAGTTTATATACTATTTTTATTTTATTTGTGTTTTAAAAGCATAACTGTTACACAGTCTTGAACTTATATTAGAAATTGATACTAAATTGAACATCAATCACTTAAGTTCACCAATATCTTCAGTAAGAACATACTTCTTTCTTTACTTGTCTCACTTATAGACAATATGGCAAATGTATAATGCTAGTATTGTATCATATATTTATTAAATCTGAATGGTATTGGGAATGATATGGCTAGAATGTTGAGACAATTTTTATTTTTGGTGCATACTGCAAATGGAATTGTGGCAATAAAATTAGTAAAAACCAGAAAATAAACAACCTTTATATCTATTAATTGTTCAAAGTATTTTCGTTTCAGGAGCACTTAATGTAAAATACTAAAATAGAAGTCGAATCAATATAAGGGGATACTATGAAATAGTTTCTAAATATGCAGTGCTTTTTTCTACTGTACTAGCCACCAGCCCACTCATGAACACCTCCCAAGATAGACATAAAAATGTTTATTGTCAGTGTCAACTGTGTCTGCATTAAAATAGGAGTCAAAGTTCATGACCTGGGGCTGAGTTCTAGTTTATTACTTCCTGTCAACATGAATAAGAGATTATAGGAAAGTGTTTATATGTAATATTTAGCTTATTTAGAATTATAAGCCTATAATATAACAAGTACTAATAATTTTTATATTTCTGGATGTTTGGGGTCACACATTTGTCTATCAATCCTATTGTTATTTGGGGTGGGGTGATCATTTTACGTAAGTGACGTAAAAGTCCTTTCTTTCAAAATGAGAATTTGTTGCTAATTAATTATGGTTTTGAAAGCCAAACTGTAGTGTGAGGTTATACCATAAACAAATATGGTAAATTAAGTTTAAAACCAATTCAAAGAGTACTGCATGTTACAATTCATCAAAATGTGATAGTTTTCAATGGCAACATCACATCTCAAGAGTTGCTATTTACTTCAAGATTTAAGAAATACAGCCATTAATATAATAGTATTCATACACAGTAGCACTTTAGTGAACACATTTATTAAAGTCAAACTTGCATTAAGACAGTATTCTACTTTAAGTGAAAATTTCAAATGGAAAATATTCGCTGTTCACTGAAAAAGTGTGTGTTTAATAAATTTATGTCACTTTCTTTAAAATGCTTTTAGATTCATTTACTGACCCATCTGTGAGTGAGCATGTTCCATGCATCCAGGGCAATGTTGGCCATGTATTGCAAGCATACGCACATGTAATAACCATCTGCGAGCATGTTGCATGCAACGTAAGAATACAGGCATGCGATAAAATTTTGCGAGAATGTTACCACATTCAAGATCTAGCTATACATTGTTGTGAGCTTATCGCGAGCATAAAAAATGCAGCGTTATACCGGTACCTTGGTTTAAATACTAGGGTAATTCTGTCAGCTCTAATGTAGGCTTGTAACAGTAGTACTTTCTTAACACTTACGATGTTTTAAACATATTCATTCCTTCTATCATATATACAATTGTAATTGTAATTATTGATTCGGGGGTGTATGTGGGTGGTAGCTTTTTTCTTACCTCAATAATTAAAACTAATGCTTTTAACATCTGTAAGTGCAAAGTTAATATATATTGCCCATCATTCATTTATTTCACATTTATAGTCGCAATATCCCTACAGTATATATGATATCATCAAAGCACGTTATTATCCTCCGAGTATTACTGTAATTAATAATAGTGAGATACAGAGCCTGACTGAGTCTCCAGTGCACCATGCAATTTGGTTTCTGTTAATATCCAATTCATTTCTTATGCTTGGTGTTCCCTGTATTTTAAACTTAAGCATGCATGCAACAAGCATGCATGCTTAAGTTTAAAATATAGGGAACATGCATGCACGTTGCATGCATGCTTAAGTTTAAAATACAGGGAACATGCATGCAACAAGCAGACCAGCTCCAGTTACATAGGAAGATGAAGAAAAAGGAATTAGCATTTTACTACATTAACATATCTCATTCATACATTTAATATAAAATTGCGATATAGCTCTCCTAACATTATGGGCTACGATATGGTTTATGTTACAAAAGATGGTGTTATATTAATTTTATATAAAAGGAGTAATCTTGACATTTAATAGGTTGATATAAACATCTGAGAAATATACTCGAAGTTCTTCATAAACTGAGATAAATTCTTCTAGAGTAATGGATTAATGGTATGCGATGTATTTTAAAAGATAATATTTATAAAAGGATTAAGATTAAGGTATATCTAGGGGGTGCTCAGGGGGATAAAAAGTTCTACCCCCAGTGTAAGCATTTACAGCCAAAGCATTATGGTCAAATAGTTAAAAATCACCACTTAAAACCTCATAAACATGTGCTTCAGCTAGGACTGCAATGGCAGGATACCTTTACCAACTGCCAATTTTAAACAACATTTTAAATATACGAGAGAAAAAGAAGATATGCTACAGCATTTACTAGGTGAATGTAAACCTTTATACACCAAGTACTTCATAAACACATGATCCTCATGACAAAATCTAGCAAAATGTGTGATAAGTTAACATTTAATGACTTTGTAAATGTACATCGATTATGTAAAACAAATGTACCATCCATGTAATATCTCGTTAATCTTTACAGACCTCACCTAATAATGTCAGTAATTGACAAAGGTCATATCTACTTTATTGTCACCAATAATTTCAATATCTAGACCAATTTCTATCTACCACACTTGGCAAACCATTTCTGTATGTTATCTTTCCCATAAACATTTTGCACTCCAATTTCTTAAGAGAGTGGTTTGCCACAGTGGTTGGGATTTGGACTTTGAGGGTTGCGGTTTTATTCAATCATTGTACTTGAGTCCTCAGACAAAGCACTCCATCTACATTGTGTCTTTCCATTCAGGAATGTTTACGCCCCTTCTAGGATCCATCTGAGCTCTTTTTATAGAATGGTTCTCCAATTGGAGCTGGGAGGATGTGTTATAACTGGTGTTTGATCCATTGGCTGGGAGTAATGCAAAGAACGTAGAGGCAGGTTATTGCAATATGTGATACATAAATACCACATTATTATTATAAACCTCTAAAGATGGGTACTTCCTGCGTTGTATGACGGTTGCACGACCATCTCACAACGGATCCAACTTTGCTCCTTGTGAGCAACTAAAATGGTTGGGTGCTAACTGCCAAAATAAGGTGATTTTCACCCTACTTGACAGTGATTTTTGGGGGTCAACTGGGGGGTGGTGGGGTGAGTGATTTTTGGATGGGTGTGCACCCCCCGTGCACCCCTAGATATGCCACTTGTTGTCGTATTGTATTCTTCATATAATCACGTCGGCCGACAACTGTCAGGCAAAGTGAGTGG